ATATATATATATATATATATATATATGTCATTGTTAAAGTTTCTATCCCCAAAATCTTGCTCTTCCATTTCTCCTTCCATTATTATGTCATTGTTACATTTATCATTGCTCCAAAACTCTCAAATGATGGACCTCAAGTGGATCTACATCTTGAGAGCCTTTCTCAAATTTACTATCGAGTTATTTTGTAAAAAAATCTTTTATAAAAGAGTTACAAAGTGAAAACAAAGATGAAGATGAAGATGTGTTATGAGAAAAATCATTAGCATTACGCTTACTAAGAAGAGATATCGATATCAAAATTATGGTAAAATATTGTTAATGTTGAAGTCACCACAATAATGATGAGAGAGGTTTACATAAGAAAAGAAAGATAAAAGTTTCAATAATACAAATACAAAAATGAAGTACCATAAAAATATAAAAAAATTACATTAATTCTAATTTCAATCATGTAAAAACTTATTTTTACATTAATTCTAATTTTAATCGTGTAAAAACTTATTTTACATCAATAATATAGAAAGAACTTTATACATTAATTATTTTATGAACCAAAGTAGAAAAAAAAAGTTTTTTTACATTAAATATTTATAATTAATGTAAAATAAACTGATTTAAATTACAAAAATATCACGGCATCTGCTTTTACATTGATTTTCATACGATTGATGTAAAAAAATGTTGTAAAGTATTGGTTTTGTATTAGTGATATTTCATAATTGAAAAAAAAATGTTCATATATATATATATATATATATATATATATTCAAAAATCTTATTTTCCTTTTCTCAATACTTTTATATTTTATTTATCTAAAAAAAATTAGATGCTTACACGAAGACACACAGATATAAATATAAATTGGTTGCGAAGTTGTTGTCAAACAACACACTCCATTTCCAAGTGGTGGTACCATAATCGACAACATGGCATAGTGAAAGCCAACCTGAGTTTGGTCGCCAAGGATTCTGATTTTGACTCGCCCGAATATCAATGTTGTTAACCTTTCATTATCACTCCTAATCCACATATCTATCTATTTGGCCCTACCCACCATATCCTTCACCATGCTAAGAGATTTTTCATTTATTAAATTTATTAGAGTAGAGCATTCAATAACTTGAGTAATCTTTGTTAGAAGACTTAACTACTCAATTTTAGCTAAATTTTCTCTATTAACTATATTGTTTTTTTCATTTACAAGATTCATACCGAAATACTTACTTAAAAAAATATAATTTAATTTCACTCAAACTAATTACACGCAGATATTTTAATATTAATTAAATTCACTCATTCTTCTTTTTTGTCCGTCGGTGAAAAATGGGGTCCCTTTTTTTCTAAAGCAAATGTAAAATGGATAACAAACCCCATGAATGAAAATGAATCCACCATTGATTATATTTTAAATATTTAATCAACTTTTACACCACCCACTCATCTTTTTTATGTCAGGCGGTCAAAAGTGGGTCCCTTTTCTAAAGCAACGTAAGCTGGATATCAACCCCTCTCCATGCGAATGAAAAAATTCATCATTGACCTTAATATTAATCACGATTTAATTTCTTTCTACAAAAAGTATATTACATATTATGTATTTTAAGTAAATTCTTCGTGTTTAATTATCGGATTAAATATGTTTTACATTTCATGAAAAATATTAATTAATGGGCAAATTCTAATGATGAAGAAACGTTTATATATTTTTAATACTATTTTGATGCAACTTTTTTGTGACAAATATTAATTTGATCGAGTTGAGTTTGGTGATTATGAAAAACTAAGAAAAATTTAAAATACAGTTTCGTAAAGACGTCGAAGTCCATGAATTAGGAGAGTGAAAAATTGCTACAATATCGAAAAGAAGCTAGACTTATCTTTATGTGATAATGTTTCTTATTGGTGAAAAACTAATAATAACAACAGAAAAAAGATTATTGATTATGTAAAAAAATTCTATTTTGTCACTAATATATACTAAATTAGGCGTACGCACTTCTCCGTACAAAAATGTAGTTTACCTCGTTCTTATGGAACTTAAAATGTTTAAAAACATTTCGGATTCTATTAAGAGATTTTAACTTATACCAGATAAAATCTTTTATTTTTTATTTATTTATTGACTTTTTGTGTTGCTAAGATACCAGATAACAATGTTCTTTATTGAGTAATCGTATAGGCTGGATTGGAGTAGAAAATTGAAAACGTTTTGCATGACTTTGGAGAATAAATATTTTAACTATCATAATCAATAATTGTTTATTAGGCGTAGAGATTACTATTGCCGTGTGAAATTTATTACGGGCTTCTGTACATCATTAATATGCCTTTATTTTTAAACTTTTAGTTAAGGAATTAGTTGGGCTTTAAAAATATGCATAAAAAAAGAGTTTCAAAACATAAATTAATTAATTAATTCACCTATAAATTAGGTACTTTTCATTAATCTTAGACATCTTCCACCAATATATATATTGATTATATCCGTGCTCAGGTCGCCGTGAATTTCTAAATGTTAGTTAAAAAACCAAGTAAAATAAGATCTCTAGTATTTTCAATATTTCATTTTAATTATTAGCTTATTATTGTTTTTTTTTCTTCTAATTTAAAAAATCATCGAAATCTTTTTTGTTTTTCTTTTAAATATAATATTTCACAATCCAATCCTTAATAAAGACACTACCCACTTTATACGTATTTGCAATTTGGCATAGTTGTGAAATTAATCAAAGATCAACTACTGTTATTTTTTATTTTGTTATGGAGATATAACTCATTCCTATCGAATCAAGCCTTATAAAAATAAAGTGGCATATATGATCGCGACTCTATATTTAAAGTTGATATTAAACTCTCTAATTTATTGGTTAAGGAGTTTAAGTATCAAATTACTTGAATTAATCACTTTTGATACTATTAATTACTTGAATTAATTAAAATAAGATTAATTTGATTTTAAATTTGAATTCTGAATATATAACTACATTAAATACTTAAAAAAATTATCTCGTATAATAATTTTATCCGATGCTTAACTTTAAGGATAATGTAGTGTTAACTAAAATATAATTTAATTTATCAATGATTCCATAATCGTTGACCATATAATTATACAATTTGTTTCATAATTCATACATGACAAGGTGTCAAGGTATACAAGGAAGGATCATAACATATCTCAGTTATAGTTTCTTCCTAATAAAAACAAGCCAAGTAGGGCCACCCCACTATAATAGCCACCAAGCAACGCCACACCCGATTCCGGATCCCATAGAAGAAAAGGATTTCATGTCCTTTTGTGTCGGTTAGTCGTTCATACATCCTTCCAACCATGAGCAAGAAACCCTCAAGAAACCTCCTCAACACCAAACCCTTTTAATCAACCAACCTTAACCTTAACCTTAACCAAAACAAACACAAACTCAAACAACCGTTAACACCTCCCTCATCCATCTCCAAGTGCATGCACAATTAACCCACCATCATGGGAAACTGCGTTTTCAAGGGGTTGCAACATGGCGTGTCGGAAGACACCATGGTGAAGGTTGTCACCTCAAACGGAGGCATCATGGAGCTCTTCTCTCCCATAACCGTCGAGTGCATAACCAACGAGTTCCCCGGCCACGGCATCTTCCGGAGCCGCCGCGACATCTTCTCTGAACCGC